TACGTGAATTCCAACAATGACAAAAACAATAGCCATTGCAAAAATATTGACTTTAATTGCAGGGAAAATCGTGACAAGAATTTTAACATTGATAAAAGTAGCAACAACAAACTGAAACAATTGGATGCACAACAAAAACAGTTGAAGCAATCAAAAAACAAAAATTTGTTCGCTGATAAAGGTTATGACGCTGAGGCTTCAAAAGATCTTTTTCATTCAAAATATTCAGAACAAAATATTAGCAGCATAAAAAATAATTCAAATAGCTTTTCTAAAAAAAGCCTTTCTCTTAATGATTCTAGCCAATCATTTTCTCAATTAATTCAACAAAGAACAAAACAACCATTGCAATCTAGTTCTAAAAACGAAAAAATTAACTACAACATTGACAGAAAGCGCAACAAACTAAATCAACATTACTATTTACCTCAAATAAAACAGCGGCAACCTCAATCTCAACAAACACAACAACCACAACCTCAACAACATTCACAGCAACAGCAGTTACAGCAACAGCAACAAAAATTACAACAAAAGCCAGAGCAACAGACAATAAAGCAACAGAAGGGCTCATTCTATACCGATGATGAATATTACAACTATTCTTTCCTGAAAGGAAACTGTTATTCATCTGCAGACGACGTTCAAAAAAAGAATTCCGAAAGCAAGAAATTTAGCACCAAGACGCAGCAACAACAAAACCAGTGGTCCGGTAAACAGGATGCTGATAATGAAAATTATTTCGAAAATGAAACAAATCAGGTATCCGAATATTCGAAGAATGACTTAAATAAATTCTACAGATCCCAAAGGCCAATAAAAAAAGAAATAGATCGGTTGCCACCAGAAGAGCGTCAGTTCATTCATCAAACCTTCGATGAATATGATGACGAATATGTCAATAGTTATGAATTTCTTCAAAACAATGATAGCGTTAAACAAATGCCTGTCACTGGAGAAATATTTTATAATGGGCAAAAACTTGAAAGCAGTTCACCAAGGCAACATCCAATCAATGATAAATACAATAACTACCGCAGTGCAGAAAAGAGAAACTTAATCATTATATCTGATCACGATGAGAGCATCAATGAATTAAACCACAGCAAAAATAAAAATTTCGTTGACATCAACAACAACATTGATATCATCAACAACAGCAATAACAACAGATCGTACGCTGCAATGAAACCATGGCAAGTTCAAAAATACATCCTGTCTGATTCTGAAATGGAGCCTGACAATAAAAATATTAGTTCATTTGAACAACCACCTCAAAAAAATGTCAACAAACAGAATATTTTTCCAATACAAAATTTAACTTATCCACAACATTTTCAGCATTATTTCTCAGATGATTCACTTCATTTTTCTAAGAACAAGAATTATAATCTGGAGAAGACGTCTGAAAGTTCCAAATACATGTTCATCGATGATTTCTCAAGTGACGATGACTATGATAATTATTTGCAGATGCAGAACGAACGACGTGAGCAAGCAAATACTTCCAAACGTTTGAGACGCATTCGCGCCAATCAAGCAGTCGACAATCATCATAATGGATTGTTGATTGCGAACGTTGCCGGGGGCAAGTTCAACTATCCTATTAATCCACAGAACAGTCTGAATAAAAGAGTTATTTACAATAATCGTAGCAAATCTGATTTAATAGATAAAAATCAAATGAAGTCCATACAACAACAGCAACAACAACAACAACCACAGGAAAGACAGCGTGTTGTTTCGTACAGCCACACAGATACCATCTACTCTTTTGATGCTAAAAAAAAACACAATAAGAAGAAGATTGTTTCTGAGACGGTCGTAAGTAAAAAAAATGGGAGTGAAGAAAATTTTGAAGGAATATACAAAAATCCCGTTCAGAACAGAACGCTTCAAAAATCAAATTCAGAAACAAAAAGCAGATATAAATTAGTCGATCGCTCCAATTTTAATTTCATTATTGCCACCATCAAAAATACCATCGGCCCCACCAGCAACAACAACACAAACTACAACGACATCAACTTCAACTACAACGCCGACAACAACTCCATCAAGTACGTCAGGCGCAGGGACTCACAATTACTTCCAATGAAGAATGACCGACATTCAGAAATGTTTCTTTCGGCAAACACAACCAACAACAACCTAGATCTTAACAAGGCTCCACCGTTCCGAAACACCGGCAATAATAATAATGTTGGAAGAAATTCTCACAAAGTCAACATCATTCTTGAAAAAGACAAACCGCCATTGTTAGTGAAAGAGCTGGGTTCTTCTCTCCATGCACCTTCCCAACATCACATGAGACCTCCCCAAACACATCGCCAACATCACATCAGACCGTCAACACAGTTCCAAAACACTTTCCACCAACCACATCATCACCAACAACAATATTTCCAGTCCAAATTAATTTTACCAACGCCACTTCATTCATCGTCAACACTTTATAATAATAACCACAACCATGGTCAGAATAATCACCACCATCAACATTTTGAGAAGATCTACTTGATGGACAAGCATGGACACATAACGGCCACAAACGTGCCATCAACGCCACCCCCCCGCCAGCACACAACAGTGTACACAACCTCACAACGTAACAAGCTGCATTACAGTAACAGTGCAAACAGTTTGAACAACAACATGACCTCATCATCACCATACGTCATTGCCAGGCATAAGAGGTCTAACACTGAGAGATTTTTTTAACTCCTACAACCAAACAACTGAGTGCGTTAATGTGACGAGAGCAAAATTATTCTAAAATGAACACGAACATAAACAAAAAACAAATTAGATATAAATGGCGAGCCCATCACTAGCGCATCAGAACATTCAGCATCACATCCATCGACGTTCAACAGCATCACTAACGCATCGCACCATCCTAACAACAAACATGAAGAAAGATGACCTCCCAAAACGAAAAATTAATTAATATCTACACAGCGAACCAATTGAGAACATTGAAATCGTCTTAATGAAATTTTCTTAACGTATGATCGACAATCATCATTACAATAATGATTATTATAATGTTGATTACGACCGAAAAAGCATAACAAACATCATGATTTATAAGCAGATAATCATAAAATAAGATCACATAGGAACTCAAGCAGTTTAATTTACCAACATCATGCAAACAGACAAACAAACAGACAAACAAACAAACAAACAGACAAACAAGCAGACAGACAGACAAGCAAAACAAACAAATAACAAACAACAAAAACAAACAACATAAACTGAACACAACGCTAATTGTCAAGCTTGATCTCACTCAACAGCGAGCAACAGTCAACCGATTCAATGCAATTCATTCAGTCACTCTAGCACTGCTTTTTAACTTTTCATTTTGAACGTTGAGCAAATATATTAAAAGAATGCGCGATCCCAAATAATTCTGCTTATGAATACGTTAGCGTGTTTGTGTGTGGCTTACAGCTTGAAAAATATGCACATATATGTATGCTTGCACCACGTGTTTTGTTTTGTAACAGTTTACGTCAACATGATGAAAATATGGAGAAATATTTAGTTAGGAAGTTAAGTTAATAATAATAATCGTTCGCCGACATAAAAGCATACGCCCCAACTTAAAATATACGCATTTTTAAAATTAGCGTAATGTGTCAGAAGCATTTTTTTTTCGTAAAAAATATATTTTTTGTTTCAACCATAGCTAACAAACTAACACATCTGATGACTTGCATGCATCCATTTTCACCTCTGATCACAGAGTATACTGAACGAGCTGTTGACTTTTTCGTTACTAATTTGAAAGACTTTAATGGGATACTAACTTATTTACAAATATATATTTATATATATATAAATATATATTTGTATAATCATAATATAATATAATATAATCATAATATATTTTTTATAAAAACTACAGTTGTATATTTACCATTATTAATAGTATAAATTATAATTTTTTCCTATTTTCAAAAACTAAATCACCACCAACTTCTCTGACCGGAACAGGAAACAGTAGAAATATCTAATATAAATTTTCTTTATTAACTTGAACTACGTTAAATGTTTAACAGGAAGATCTTGAATAAATAAATAACAAACGAATCAAGATTTAAAAAAACATTGGACAACATGTTCGTCAAAAATACTCAAATGCTGGAATATAAGGCTACAACAAATATCGGAATTAAATAAGTTGTATATAAAAAAATAATAAATATAGTTTGTTAAAAAAATAATAAAATAGTTTGTTGAACAATTTAAAAAAGTATCCACTTAAAATTGTAAAACCAAAGATCACCGATAAAGATGAAGTTGATAATAATCATGATTAATATGATTTGAAGTCGTGAGGCAAACCTTTTTAATAATATAAGTGCATGCCATGAAGTTTTAAACTGGGATTGACCAACCATCCTACTCTTCTCATTATAAACTTTTTTTACTCTTTAAAAATCCGACTTTTTTTATTCTTTAAAAAATCAGAATCTGGTAAAGACAGAAATCGTTGTAACACACAAGTCAATATTATAAAATAACGTCCCATAATAGAACGCTTTATACAAAAGGTCAACCTTGTAACCCAGATAAATATTATTGACCAAGGGTTTTTTCCATAACGAAGCAAATGCTTCTTGGTCAACGTTGTTCAAATATTTTAGTTCGATTCCTATAGTATAATAACATAGTGTGTACCCACATCGCTATATACAAATTCTTGAATAAAAAATGAAACTAAAAAATATAATACTTTTGTTCAAGTGCTGTGGTAAATTGACAAATAACTGTAAAGTTCCGCCAAAATGTTAACATCGTGAACACTCAAATGTAATATTTTATAAAAATACTGAAGGTAGAAACGTAATTCAAAATTTTATCTATATTACTGCCATCTACTTTACAACAAAATCCTCCTGCTCTTCTACATCCTATTCATCAGACGCCCTCTACATCCTCTTGCATGTCTGCATCCTCTTCATAAGATGCTATCTACATCCTCTTCATCAGATGCTGTCTGCGTCTTCTTGCTTGTCCTCCTCATCAGATGCTGTTCGCAGGTTTTCTTGGAAGGTCTGTCTCAATTTCTCCAGCTCAACCAACTCCATCTACGAGTGGGTGCAAGTGTAACAGTCTTCATTAAAGTTTTAGGCAATAACATTTGAAAGTATGGATTTGACCAATAAAAATAAAAAAGTTGCATCATTGGGAAGATGAGTAGATTATTAGATTAATCTAAACAAATAAAACAGACCTTCAGCTTGCTGAGATGTTGAACTCTTTTGTTCTTGATGGCTCGCATGGGGAAGGGGTTTAATTCATTGAATGCAATCTGCGTCCAAATAAAAAATGGTTATCTAAATTGTTAATTTAACTTAACAACTGCTCTTAAAAACCGCTGGTCTGTAAGCCGGTTTGAACCACAACTTTGAATTACGAATTCACGAATAACAATAAGGTGTATTTATGTTGGTTTAAATGTTTGTAGAACAAAGTTAAAATCGCTTCTAACAAGAATTAATGAGTGCCAAACAATGTAAGATAACTTTAACCACGTTAAACCAAGCATTATTTGAACCAACAACACATAACGAGAATTGCCAAAATGAGCAATGCAACATAGGCACTTAATGAAACAAAAATGACCTGTGAGAGTCGATTGACGTCAGTGAGGTTCTCACACATGGATCTGATGAACATGTTCAGTTCAGTTGCCGTCTGGAAGCTAAGTATCTTGCACTCGTAAAACTTCATTATGGCCAGTGCATACCGGAAGAGAACCTGCAACATGAAAACATTCATGCTAATTTGTTAAACGCGTAAAAACAAATGGATGATAAAACTGAAAAAATTGTTACAAATTATGATTGTAAATTGAAACGGTGACGGTAAAATGGAAATGATTTGATGATACCAACACAAACACATACACGGACATCCATAAAACACACAACATTCAAACAGATAGGCGCACACGCATACCTCATGCGTGCACAAACAAATCGACAATGGTAACCTTGCTGCCTTCATACAGGAATGTGTCCCATATTCTCAGAAATGTACTGACGGGCAAGTTGTCGACGAAGATGGTGAGGAACCAGGAGAAGGTGAACAAACTGGGTTCGAAGTTTAATGATGAAAAATGCTGGGAAAGGGTTGGAAGTTTGTCTGCCAGTATATCCTTCAACACTCTCTGTATAAACATGAAACATTCATCAGGTGTATCAATCACAAAAACAACTTATCTAAACAATTAGTGGTCTCCTGTTGTGATATGCCTTTAGACATCAATAATGATGACAAATATGAGCATAAAACCTGAAAACAACAAAAAAAACAAATGGAGCAAACATGCTGACCTGATCGGCGTGTGCAGCCATTAATGTCCTGTTGTAGTAATTTGTCGGCATGGCGACTTCCACCATGGCCACCAGGCCCCAGAATGCCTCCTCCTCCGAAAGCACCAACAAGAGTATGCCACCTACGCGGTTCAAACCCTGCTCACGTAATGATCATGTTAGAAACTTTAAGATGCCAACAAAAATAACGATCAGATATTTATGATGGCGACACGAATTAATGATGTGGCGGTGCAGTAGATAACATTTCCTACTTGACAATATCCAATGTCAGGGTTGTGGATTGAGAAGGCCAGCAGAATGTTTCTCAGTGAAATTATCTTGGAGGAAGTAAATGTGGAAAAGTGTTTGTTGTTTGGCAACGTTCGCAGCAAATCTAGTTCTATCTGTTGAAAACAAGTTGTCATCAATATTTATTATTACTATCCACGGTTTGGAAGATTTTATAATAAATCCCCGAAAATTAAAATTAATGGTAAAAGATTAAAAACTACAAAAAAAAGTCGTCATCGCAAATGAAGGCATTTAGTGGACAATTGTTACAAAAGCAGAAATAAAATATAATCGAAAAACAAGTAACAAAATGAAAATAGAAGGAGCATGCTGAAAAATAGGAACTTAAACTGAAATTAAAGTTAAACCGACAACGTGCGCTGGACAGTGCGCTTTGACTATTACACCATCTCAGTTAACATAGAGTTTACATTAGAAAAAATTAAAAGGTAAATTTATGGAATTCCTGGGAATTAAAAATGGCAGTTTTTATGGTTCGATTAAAGAAAGCAAGGCAAATGAATTCGCCATGTATAAACCTTGCTAGTTTAGTTGATTTTAAATAGCATTGCCTTTTCAGTCATGAGTGTCAAACAACAAATAATTTTTAAAAACATAAAAAACAGTTTCAATTTTCAACTAGACAGAACAGAACACGCAGTGCAGTAATTTAACTTTGACCCGTTTTTATTGTGATAATAATAATAACTTTAGGGGCTGTTGGCATAAAAATGTTTATCTACGAGCGGAACGTACATCTTTAACCAATCTGCTTTCAACAAAGTATGAAAATAATACAAAACAACAAAATTGAAACAAAATAAAAAACTGCCACGAAAATGAGAAAAAAAATTTGGAAACCTGGTTAGCAAATGGTGTGACGACTTTTTTGTTGACAACCATGTCGAGAATACCTGAATAAGAGTTGACTGACGCGTTGGCTCGATACTCTTTGATTAACACGTCGATGCACCTAACAGAAGATAACCGCATTATAAAATTAACCAAAAATAAATACATTATATCACGAAATACGAACACTTTCCAGAGACGAGCTCTGAATTGACTGGGAACTCCATCTCTGATCATCATTTTCGTTTCTTTGTTTTTGAACGTTAAACAACGTTCCAAGCTTATAAGCATTGTTTCCCATTTCAAGATTAAATTCATATCCTGCTGAGACTTTTGCTATATAATTTGGCAGAAGTTATTCATTCATTATTGAATAATTGAATTTCACTTTTATAACAACTAATCGGAAAAATTCTTCAAAAATTAAAAACAACAAACCTTCATCTTGATCATCTCACTTTTCATCGCAGATTGTTGTTCATTATTTTCTGATCCATCATTTGCCTGAGTAAATGTTGCTTCCCTCTTCAACGTTTTCTCAAATCCATATTGATCATAGACTGGTCCCTGTTTAGACCTGCATTGATTGTTATGCAATCATTTGGGGTTGCATCTTCTTCAAGATTTTGCCTCAGCTGTTATTTGTGCTGAGTGGTACTTATGATGGAAGTGTTTTGTTTTCGGTCAGCCAACTAATCTCGTTAAGTAAGCAGTTTCTTCATCCATTTTTGAAATTTTTACATCAAATTTGTAATGTTCGTATATATGTACAATTAAGTAATTTTAAATTTTATAAAGACCCCCTTTGATAGGATGGGCCGATTCCGGCGGTACTGCAATACCGGGCAAACCCGCGGAGAAGTCTGAGCAAGCTCGAGACAGTCTCCTGCTTCCAAACAGTAGTTTAATATCGATGCCCCTCGATGGAGGGCGTATCAGATATTAAACTGATAAGAACAGATACTAAACTTTGATCTTAGCCAAAAGGCCGAGAAGCGATAACACCAAAACCTCGACAATTCATTATGAATAACTAACAAAACTTAGTCTGAGGTGGAAAATTTTTATCCAAACAATTTTTTATTATGTTATTTTTTATAGTTGAATTACTAAAAAAGAATAAAAATTTTGCACAAAGAAATTCATAATTTTCAAACTTGTTGACGTATTACAAATTAATTTTATATGAAGCTGGTTCTAGCAAATAAAAAAATTAAAACAAATTTTCTTTATATTTTAAAATAATTTCAATTAACCTCATACATAAAATGTGAAATATTGATGAAAAATGTTTTTCTCTAATTATAAAATCATATGGATTGAACTCTATCGTTCCATGACTAGAAAATAAAAACACTTCAATTTCTTCTGGTAAATTTTAAAAGCAATAATAAATAGATAGTCTATCTATTTTCTATGGTTGATAAAGACCCTCTTTGATAAGGTGGGCCGATCCCAGCGGTACTGCAATACCGGGCAAACCCGCGGAGAAGTCTGAGCAAGCTCGAGAAAGTCTCCTGCCTCCAAACAGTAGTTTAATATCGATGCCTCCCGATGGAGGGCGTATCAGATATTAAGCTGATAAAAACAGATACTACACTTTGATCTTAGCCAAAAGGCCGAGAAGCGATAACACAAGCGTCTTGATAATTCGTTATGAATAATTAACGAAATTTAGTCAGAGGTGGGAAATTTCTATCCAAACAATTTTTCATTAATATGGTTTATTGTTGGATTACAAAAAAAAATAAAATTGTGCGTAAAAATTTATTAACAATTTAAAAACTTGTTGACGTATTACAAATACATTTAAAATGAAGATGGCTCCAGCGATTAAAAAAAATATTAAAACTTTTTTCTATATTTATCAAATTTTTCAATTAACTTATTTCATAAAATGTAAAATATTGATAAAAATGTATATTTATCTTTAATTGAAAAATCATAAATTGTGAGCACATGATAATACCAACTAATCTCGTTAACGTAACACTTTATCAATTATGGTCTCCTTCCAAAAGTTTTTTCTTTGGTAAACTTGAAAAGCGATAATAAATAGGTGGTCTGTAAACTCTGTAAACTACTAAACTTTGATTCTCTAATATTAATGTAATCATTAGGGGTTGCATCTTTTTCAAGAGTAGCATGAGTTGTTATTTGAGCGGAGTGGTACTTATGATGGGAGTGCTTTGTCTTAGGCCAGCCAACTTATCTCGTTAACGTAAGCAGTTTGCGACAAACTTAATTTCTGTCATTTTACTTCATATCTATAATATACATATATAACGTATACCCAAGTAATTTACACTTTATAAAGATATCCCCTTTGACAGGGTGGGCCAATCCCGGCGGTACTGCAATACCGGGCCAACCCGCGGAGAAGTCTGAGCAAGCTCGAGATAGTCTCCTGCTTCCAAACAGTAGTTTAATATCGATGCCCCCCGATGGAGGGCGTATCAGATATTAAGCTGATAAGAACAGATACTACACTTTGATCTTAGCCAAAAGGCCGAGAAGCGATAACACAATAGTCTCGATAATTCATTACGAATAATTAACGGAACTTAGTTTGAGGTGTGAAATTTTTATCTAAAATTTTTTTATTAATATGGCCTATTGTGGAATCACAAAAACTGAATAAAAATTGTGCTTAAAAATTATTTATAATTTTAAATCTTGTTGACGCATTGCAAATTAATTTAATATGAAGTTGTCTCTAACGATCAAAACAAAATTTAAAAAATTAAAATTATTTTCGACAAACGAAAATAAACCACAGGATCAATTTTTTAAAAATTTGCAGGATTATATGACGAGAGATCATTCGTCTTTTACAAAATACATTATATAAAGAAAATATTATTACCTCCAAAATCCTACTTCAGTTTTTTTTGTTTTACAATGACGGTGCAAATGTAATTAATTCTTCCGAAAACGATAATTTTTGCATACAAATCGTGATCAGTCCAAAGTAGAAAATTTGTTCAATACAAATAAACAAATTATAAACTTTGAAAAGACGGCACGACGATGACTGGCTGTGATTAAACACGTTGACATTTCATGCAATATTCTACAAATAAGTCATCAATAAACATCAGCACCAGCATTTTTCCAACAAAGAAACTTATGATAACTGCAACATCCTAAAAATTCGACAAAGACCGACAGAGAGGATCCAAACTATAAAACTACATTGAAGATGGCAGTTGATGCCGAAAATAAGCTTATGTCAATGTCAAAAAATAATATTAGAATTTTTTAATTTTTTTCAATTTCAATAAACTAAAAATGAAATTAAAGTTTATTATATATATAATGTATTGTATGAATTCTACAGTATTGTATGAATTCTACCGAACTCTGAACCAACCTCATCATATCAAACGTTAATCAATTATAAGTTTGTCTTTTCAATTTTCCTTACTAAAATTTTCTGGAAATTGTCTATTGAAAACAGAATTATTATCCAAGTTCATCACGAAAGTTTAATAAAACTGTTGTTATCCATATTTATCATGAAAATAGGCCTTATTTCGATTTTTCACAAATCATCTTCAGTGCGGGTTTGATTTACATAGTTTCTTTAAACAGAGCAAAGTTTCTTTAGCAAAGTGAATTACTTAGTTAGTGTCGTATTCTTCATCTTTGTTGCTGTCATTTCTTTGTTGTTCATAGTTATTGAAGTTAATATTAAGGCGTCGAGTTGGTAATCATGTAATCATTCTTTGCTGGAGTTTATTGATATCTATTGATATTAGGGGTTTATTGATATCTATTATATACAGTATTGTATGCTCATACAATATTGTATAAAATATGGTCTCCTTCCAACATTTATGATATCTTTTAGGATAGCTTCTGCAATTTTTAGATGAATCGTGTTGGTGTTTTGATAAATGTTTTTAGTGTGTTGTTGTCAAGAATTTATTGGAGTTGCATATATTGATTGTATTAATTTATATTTATACAATACATTTTGTTGCGCTCAATCGAAGTTATTAGATTTTTAAGTTTCTTTTTCAAGTTTCCAAATTTCTAATCAACTTATGTCTGTAATCCAAACCCTCTATCAAACTTCCATAAGTCATTTTTCAAACTAATTTAATATATATAATTATTACATATATAAGGTTGTTTGAGTAATGATTAACAAACCCCCCCCCCCCCAAAAAAAAAATTTCTCATATTAAATATTGTAAAAATGTCTAATTCTGAACCAACCTCATCCTATCAAACATGCTATCCGAATCATCAGCCTGCAGTGAATCTTCGAAAATCTGCTTCAATTTATCACTGGTAACTATGGCGACCTCATCTAATATAATAATAATAACGATAATAATAATAATCATAGTCATAATAATAACAATAATAATATTAATAACAATAATAATATATATGTTAACGATAATATAGCCCAAGAACTGATAATATAGAAGAAAATAGAGAATATGAAAAGAGTGAAGTGCGTGCAGTGCAGTCAGTTCCAGTCACAGTAGTACGCCAGCATAATAGCGAATGGCAACATAGCTCAATCATTTGAATGCCTTCTAGTCCTGCAACGTAACGGTTCGTTATCAATAGCAGCACCAGGTTGGATGAGAATAAGGCCGAGTTAATCAATTTTCAGAAGTCTTGTGATAACGTGCTGTATCAAACAATATGGCAATAAAGTGAAAAAGAATAACTTATTTGAAGACTTGGAAAAAAATGTTTAATTGTTGTGGCCTGAAATTTGGTGAAAAGTAATCAAATGCAGAAGAATATAAGAGTTTGTACATCAAAAATTTGGATAAAATTGTATGAGCATGTTCAAATTTCAACTTTAAGTTTACATTTTGGCTACGTGGAAAACAAGCTGCATGCAAATACAAAAACTAAATTAGCAACAGCGGATAATATGTAAAAAATTGATAAGCATAAAACTTAAGTAAGAAGGATAACGATAATTATCTTTATCATTATGCAGTAAGATAACCAACTTGTACAAAGTTCATTGAGATCAAAGTAACATTTCCAGAACTTGTTATTCATGTGGTTCAGAGAGGCCTCCAACTTTGTCACACATCTTTAGCGTTTGAATGAGGCAACATATTAATTACTTAATAATATAACGAAACTAATAAGTAGATGATGCTTAGTTTATTGTCCAATATTTTATGGTAAAGAAATAAAACATTCTAAATGTCTTAGTAACTAACCATAATATTGAGTGAGATAAAATTATTTATTTAAAAACTTAGTTAACTTATAAACGCTTCCTCTTCGAGAATAAATCAATCAGCTAACCAGTAAACCATTAAACCAATCATGTAGCTACGGAGACAATAGGTCAACCAGCCAACCAATTAGTCAACCAGCCAACCAATCAAGTCAATTAACCCAACCAAGCCACCAACAAGCTAGCCAGCCAACCAGCCAATCAACCTACCAGCCAACTAACTAATCAACCAACCAACCAACCAACCAACCAACCAACCAACCAACCAACCAACCAACCAACCAACCAACCAACCAACCAACCAACCAACCAACCAACCAACCAACCAACCAACCAATTAGTGAATCAACCTACAAGCGCAAGTCACTCAGCCAACTAACCACACTAACATCTGAGACTCATCCAGTTTAGTTTCAAGAGAGCACACCAAATCATTCAACTCAATTATCTCCTGGTTCAACATCTTGTTCTGGGCTTTGTAAGCTAATGACTCCTCCTGAAACAATAGTGAGAATGCAATTTTATACATTCCCCACATATAAGTGTTTTCCGACCTCCTTACGTGTTTGTTTTTAGAGAGCTTGTTAACGTGAAGTAAAGTATCACGCAAGTAAGTAGTGGAAAACAGAGTAAATGATGACAATGCTCATTTGGGACAATTTAATTAAATCAACTCGGATTTCCGCAGTGCTTTGGTTTAAAATTCAATTGTATCTTCTTTAGTTTCATCCTGAGAATTAGAGCATCAAACCCAGGCTCAACACACATGGTTTGTCAATCATATTGACAGAATTTGCTAACCAACCAAACTTATTTACGTTGACCCATTTTTTAAAGTTGACAACTTGCTATGAAATCATTGCACGCATATTAAATCTTTGTTGAGTGAAAAACTTTTGAAGATTATTTTAATTTATTTTTTCAAATAAAATTATTTTGTTTTCATTAATGAAAAATTTGTTAAGAGATAGCTTGAGTTGGTTTCCCCAAAAACACCTCTTGGCCTCTTGGTAATAACGACCCTTATTTGTTTCAAACTATGCATACACATAAATTGCTAATGTTTATATACATTCATATAAATTTATAAAAAACAATAAAAACATGTAAAGTAACCTGATAATACTTCCAAGAAGCATCATCACATAAGACCCAAGGTTCCCCCGATTTTGAACTGCCACTTGAACTTTTAGCAAACAGAGAGCTGGTTATAATATCTGCTTTTTTCATGTGAGAACTGTCGGAGATGTTGCTAGCACCACTTGTGTCAGGGATGCTTGCTTTAGCATTGTTGATGTTGATGTTACTGGCAATACCGATGTTGTTTCCAGACCCCAAGTCTGTCAAATGTTCTTCAAACAACATGAGGTTCTCATTGAAAACCGTTGAGGCATATGAAGATGCAGTTGATGGTGCCGGCGTGAGCGGCAGTGTTGTTGTTGAAGATGGAATTGAAGCAGTCTGTGTTCTAGTTGTTGTCGATGGAGGAAGTGAAGAAATAATCTGTGTTGTTGTCGGTGAAAATGATGTTGTCCTGGATGATGATGTTATGGTAGTTGGCGGATATAATGAAATGCCAGTAGACATTTCGTCGATTTTGTTACTCTTTAAAACTGTGCAAAGTTGTTTGGTGACATTTGCTTGCTGTTCATCAACGATATGTTCAGAGTTGCCATAGGTCGGCTCTGGAATGTTGTCAGCTGCTTGAGAACTGAAATTTTTGTGTACATCTAAAGAGTTATAAAGAGTTTGTTGTTGTTGTCGTTGAAATTGTTGTTGTTGGTGTTGTTGATGATGTTGTTGTTGTTGATGTTGTGAAGTAGAAGAGTTCAAAGGTTGTTCAGCAATATGTTGCAACATTTTTCCATCAGTTCTTTGAAATGAGATGTTTGTCGCTGGCTTCTGATTGACGTTGGTGTTGTTGCTATTCATGATGTAGCAGTTGTTAGTGTTATCATTGCTGTGTGTTGCATTGGTGAGGAACATTAACATCTCATCCTTCATATTCAAATTGAAGCGCAGTGACTCAATTTCATCAACATGTTTCTCTAACTTCTTCTTCAGTTCACTTAAAATAATAGTTTATTATCTTACATTGAAGATTGAACAACCAATCAATGAACAGTCTTTTAAAGCTCCAATCACATCAACAACAAGCATGCAAACGTTAGAAAAGTAAAAAAATGTAGTGCAAATGTAGAGGAAGGTTAAAGGTCAATCCCTGTTGTGCACTAGCTTCAGAGGTTCTAACGACAAACACACACAGCGTATATGAATACGCCTCACCCAGGCGGGGATCTCTTTGCATTCGATCACATTCACTGCAACAACAAGACCTGGCGCCTTTAACCATTACGCTATCGCGCCGCCCAAAAAAACATATCAAACGTTAAGATGTTATCTTCACCATCATCGTCATTATCATCATTGTTATCAACTAGTCAACTAGTTATTTATTCGACACTCATGTTCAATATGTTAATCTTGATAGACTGGATTACAACGAAGACCAACACACAATACAACATACAACACATCATACAAAACATCACACACACAACACATCACACCATACAACACGTGACACACACACACACACACACACACACACACACACACACACACACAGAGCACCAACAACACACACACACAGACAGAACACCAACACACACACAGATCACAAACACACAACCAATCAACAAACTCAATAGTGCAGTCCTTAGCTACGAGACTGGCATGCAATTGCACGATAAGTTCTTCTAGATCAACATTCCTTGAGACCTTTTGCAGCCCTTTCTTAGATGCTCCTTCACTCTCTCCAGCTTCGCCGTCATCGTCGTCAGCGTCCTCGACTACAGCAGCAATGCTTCCAGCTCTGTTCAGATGAATTTGCAAATGTTATTGTGCATGGTAGTTAAAATGTCATAACTTGGTCACCAGCATGGTTATGGCTTATATTTATTATGACCACTGATTTTTTATAACATGCCTTAATGACATCATGGACCCTCCTTTGTTTTCTGGTTGATTGCAGAACGGGTAATTATCAAAAAAATAATTTAAACTAAACAAATGAAGCATGTTAACCTCATTAAAATACCAATCATTGAACAATAACAACGTACTTATCTTGAAATGATATCTTTTTTAGGTCCTACGACTTGATGTGTCATTTACAACCAATTAAAAAATTAATTTGTCATGTATAAAATTGTTTTTTTTTGTCTCTACTGTTTGCGTGTTGATTGTGTTGTAAGTTGCTCCAATGTTTTTGTGTGACGTGTGACTGCAGATTGTACATTGTTTTAAAAGTTGTTTGTGTGTTCTGAATGCGTGCTCTGTATGTTGTTTGTCTGCCGACTATATTTAATTTATTTACCGTAGCTGTTGTTTCAGTTCGTTGATGACTTTGTGGAGGTTGGATGTTATAATGTCATGGGCAGACATTTCTTGTAGCATCGTAACTTCATTCTTTTTCATTTCTTCAACCACGCATTTCATCTGACGATCAATCAATCAATCCATCAATCCATCCATCCATCCATCCATCCATCCATCCATCCATCCATCCATCCATCCATCCATCCATCCATCCATCCATCCACCCATCCATGTAATACACTGAACCATGTCAGTAATAATTAAAAATTAATTTCATTTTGTAAGTTACAATGATTCTAACGACGAATCACCACCAACGATACAAATGAGACCAACCAAGAAGGAAATTATATAAAATATATATTAGGCCGACATAAAAACTTTAGATTTTTTTATTTATTTTAGCTGGATATTGAAATCAGTAAAATGGATAACTTGAATAAGCTTGCAACTTTGCAAACAGCCCAAATTAGTTGATAAATTTTTGAAAATGTTTGAAAATAAATATGAAATATAAACTCAGATATAAGAGCAAAAATAAATAAATTCAGATAAACAAACAAAGATGACATTAAAAAATGATTTGAATACAGTTCCTTAAGGATTCTGACTACTACAGCCAAATATAAATTTATGAAATGCCTTCTCAATCAAAGAGAACCATGGTACAACTAATTCATAATTTAGATAATTACAATGGCACAAATTAGCACCTTCTTGGGAGCCTAAAAGTCGAAAAAAAGATAACTTGGCTTCCTATTGGAAGATAGATAGATTATTTAGCAGAAGAACAGTGGCAATTAAAATAATAATCATCGCTGTTGAGAAGATGGGGCTGTGGGGATAATGTTGAAGATCATTAACTTCCTACCTAAGAACATTTCAGTAATGGGCTGGCTGATCGTATAATTTACGTAATTACAGATCAAACAACTGCTTCTATTAGTTGCCTATAAAAAATACACAAATAATAATAATAATGCTGATATAGAGCTGATGACTAAAAAAGCTGCAGCGTATGTCGCTACTGAGAAATGGAAGAAGAAACAAAAAGATTTTTGCGTTTGAGTTACATCACTGCCACAAAAATATCAAAAAATTAACAACATAAAAATTTTGATGAAAAGGATACTGATCAATCTTTTGAAATAACTAATAAAAAAGCTAGGCTAAATTTAATTCCTATGAATGAAACCTTCATAGCACTTCTTAGCGGGTTGCACGTTTGCGACACTTGCAAACAGCTGCTTCATCCGTTCATTTAATTAGGCAAGTTATGTCAAATTTTTCAGCAGTTTTTTTCAGAAAAGCTTTTATTTTAAAAACAAAATTTCAACAAAAAGTCTCACGAAGCAGTAAAACTCAGTTTAAGTGTCCCTAACAGATGCCATTGGAGTAAAAACAAACATACCATTCAAAATTAATGGGTCAAACAAAATTAAACTCGTCAAGTGGAATTGGAAAAAACTGAGGAGATAAAATTGAAGAAAAAATTACAAAATCATACATAGTGGAGTAATTTGAATTAAACTTATGAAATAAATAATTAAATACTGACTTAATGAATAAAAACCACAAAAGTGTGAGCACAAGAGTGGAAGGTTTAACAGGTGAGGAATAGCTAAAGAGTAATCTTGGTTGCAATTCAATTATATTTTATTAAATAATTATATAAATATGTAATAAATTACGTAGAATATATATAAATTATTACACTGTATAGATTACATATAGAGATATAGAAGTTCTACAGAATGTATATAAATTATATTCAATCAATCTTCGTTTTGCGTCCAGAGACCCGGTTTCCCGAGGTAGGACGTTGTTTTCTTTGCCATCAACTTTTTGCGCCAAATTAGACAATCAGTTGTATCCATTTCATTTACCATAGAGGGGCCATTCTGAATTTTTCTGCAACATCCCTCCGCTATTGCATACTTCCCAGGGATTCTTGGCACCCCTTGACCACTTAAGGCCTGCTGGGGACTAGGGGCCGTTGTTTTTCTTTGTGATGGCATAGGAATAATTTGGGGAAAAGTTTTTACCTCCGAACACTCATCCTGACAACAACCACCAGTTATCAGCGGTGGGCCTAGCCTTTCGCTCAAAAGCACGCAAGACAGCGTGGATGCAGTTTTATGTCATACCCAGGATGTATATAAATTATATTAAAGATAAAAAATTATATAAAATACATAAAAATAATATATATATATATATATATATATATATATATATATATATATATATATATTATGTAGAACATAAATATTTGTATAAAAAAATTTATGAATTTTATATAATACACAAAAATTCCAAAAGATGTTCATAAACAGTCAAGCAAACAGAAAAAACGTCATCGAATTTGAAAACTTATAAAAAAATTGACAGCCAATCAGAAGCCCAATGATCATCTCCGCCAACAAACCATGAGGTATAAAAATGGTTACCACCACCAACGAACCATCAGGTATAAATCACGTAAAATGGCAAGAACAACTTATTAACATGAATATTGAAAGTTGCATGATAATGAAAATTGTAGAAACAGGTGTAATAATAATAACAACAACAAGAATAACAACGCCAACAATAACAATAATGATAATAATAATTCTGATGAAAAATATAAATTTAACTGATGCCTCTTTCATATGCACTTTTTTTCTCATTCACCCTACCTTAGAACTAACTACCTACCTGCAATGACAGAACTTGGTGCAAATTTTCAGCATAAAATCAGGGTTCTACAGATTTAGTAGTACCAGCTGGATGTATGTAGGTCACACTCAACACCTTTTTCAAATAATTGAACCCACCGTAGTCAAACCCAGTTACGAATAACACCAATAATAATAAAAATTTAAATCCAACCTTTACACAGTTGGAGCATTTGCCTGAAAAAGACGAATTGAAGGCAGTTTCACTTTCATTTTTTCCAATCTCACTAATGACATTATTCGAGTTTTGGTTGCTATTGAGTTTGACACTTCTGTTCCACATGGGTTTGCAACTTTTTAAACGAGAAAAGACGTTTTGATTTAAATAATTTTGATGTGAAATTTTGTCGTCTGCAAATTGATCTGATTCATTATTGTTGATGTTGTTGTTTTTAACATTAGCATCAACAATTGCATGATTTTTGTTAACATTTATGTTGGTCTTGATAGTTGAAAATTTGTTTTGTAATTCAAATCTCCAATTAGCAAATGAAAGATCTCTTAGTGATTTGCTTCTTGTGGCAGGCTTCAAATGTTTGGCACTTGATTCTCCCACTGTGTGGCTAGGTCGTTCGATTTCACAAATGAATGAAAAGTGTGATCCACAAGTGACATCAGACTCCTGAGATGTTGACGCTAAATTAAAGTTCTGCAGCTGATGAGTAAATTTGGTTAATTTAGAAATAAATTTCACATTTTTATATCATTTGAAAAATTAACTAAAAACACTTTGAAATACTAAAAAAAATTAACTGTAAACTTTTTGAGTTTCTAATTTCATGAAATATTTTTTCCTGGCAAATTGTAAACTTTGAATCCAGTACAACATGGTTTGACTGTCCTCAGCTTGCAATAGTACAGTTTTGTCAGGTGATCTGAATTTTAAATGCAAATATATTGTGTGTTATAATAGAAAAAGGGTGTCCAAAGCTTTACATGTTAGGACCATATGGTTTTTTTTGATTCACAAATGTTCATATAATGAATGAACAACAAAAACAATTAAAATATTGAATATATTTATAGAATAAAATAATTTTAATTGTATTTATAATAATTTGATATTTGTCATCTTCTTCGCTTTAAAAAAATTAATACAATACCTGATTTGAAAAACATTGGTAAGACTTTGTTCTTCATCTGTTAGAAAAGTGAAAACAGACTTGCTGATATTTATTTCTCCCAATGGAGCAAGATCTTTAGCAGTTGCAAAATATAACAATGTACATGATTCTTCAGCCAAAACAAACCATCTGGTTTTAAATTCTCTACCAACATTTCGATATCCCAGCTTCAATTTCTTCAGATAGCCACACAATCTGTTACATTCATTGTTATTGGCCTCACTCTCCAATGTTACTTTCTTAATTTTTTCACTGTTAACACGGGAAGGACGCCCAGAAACAAAAGTGTCAGCAGTTTCAACACCCCCTTCTTCCGTTCCAGTCTTTGAGTGGTCATCAGCAGCATTATTGTTGTTAGTAGATGAAAGTTTTTTATTATTACTATACTCTTCCAAAACATCTTCAAGAGTTTTTTCAGTCATAGAAAGATTGATGTATGATTTGAAGCTGTCATTCTTAACGAGACGATTCATTTTTAAATGCCTCCACGATCAAATGCAAGTTGTAAACAAAAACATTTTTACAAAATCCGCCTTCCTATTTGTTTATTTACAAGCTGGGGAATTTCTCTGGAAGTTTTAGAAGACAGCACTGCCCATACATTTAACACCGTCGATGCTACTGAACAGATTTAAAAAGCCAGAAAAGTTACAAAAAAACAATTTTGATTAGTAAATCTCAAAATTTATTTTACAAATTGCAAATATTCAATTACAATTTTGGAAAGTATAATTTGACACTATTTTTATGTCTCAGCCATGGTCTCAGCGATCTTAGCATTCATTTTCGATACATATTATTTAGAAAGCATAGGGACATATACCGTTTAATTAAAAAAAGCAAAATCAACCATGGATAGTTCCATGGAATCAACACATGGTGAATAAATTTGAAAAAAAAACTACCACATTTAAATATAAGTTGAGTGCGAATGTACGAGGAAAATTAACAGTGTTGAAGCTAAACGAAGACAGAAAATCTTGCATTTCCTCATTTAATCCTAACAGAAAATGGTTTGCGAGTAACAAACCTAAATAAAATTTTCTTTCTTATTACACCTGATCGTAATAATTAAGTAACGAATCGTAACTCAACTCATTACTGGTATAAAAAACATTTTATATCAATATAAAATGGCATTAATTTGTACAAAAATGTGTCAGCTATTTTTTTCTGATTATAATATGGGAATTGAATTAATTGGCCTGAACGTTGATCTATTTAACGTCTGCTATAACGTCATTTTTCCCTTGCACTCAATTATAAAGTTTAAGGCGATTTCGGTATCACTAGATTGTATTTTTGGAGCTCAGTCGTTTGTTTAAATGAACAAAGTGTCTGAGCCGACAAATATTTAATGAAATTAAGATAATACTGATCATTGGCGTAACCAGTAAAGTCGAAAGTTTGTAAACTTTTATTAACTAGGTTTCAAAGTAACGTCAGTGACTTATCGACTAATTTCACTAGGAAAAATGTTGGAATTTGGTCGAGGCAACATGTTTTAGACATTGACGTATAATTTATATCTCAATAATTTTGGTTTAGATATGCTTCAGAAATACTTTCGAACTGATGAAAACTGTTTTCTATAACATTACACTTTATAATAAGCGATCAAACTTCATAAATTTACATTATAAATTTGCTATTGAGTAAATTTATTCTAGTTATGTGATTGAGTATATTTATACAAAATTTGAGTATACAAAACTTTTTATATTCAGTATCTTTGGTCACTAATATTTTATCGTCTGGTTTTCTTCGTTTCTTTAATTTTTAATAGAGTGGGGAAAATTTATTTTTTAATTCTGCTGGTTGAAGTTCGATTTAATAATCATGTTCGTAATAAAATATTCCTTAAAATTAAAATTAAATTTTAATTAATATTAGTTAATTAATATATCTTTTTTTTTAGAAATGTCACTCTGCAATTTTTTTACAAATAAAAAAAGTCCCCTGAGGATGATTTGGATTGCCGCTCACTGGGATAAAAAGATTTCGAAAAGTCAAATTTTTGATGCCGACATTAAGCTCCTTGCTTCTTATATAATTAAATCAAATGTTAGAGAATAATATGATGTAATTTTTAATTGATCTACTTTTAATATTTGGTAAAATTTCCAACTTTTTTGTTATACTTGATAATTAATTAAAACTAAAATTAAATTAAATATTAAACTTTTAAGAAAGTTAGAAACTATAAAACTAAAGACATGGCTAGGTTTTAGAATTTATTAGAATATTAGATGAAAAAATGTATTGACTTTAATATTTATAAATCTATTCAATTTCACAATGGAATAATGAGAAATTTTTTGTTATTTAAAAAAACGTTTTGTTTAGAAAACGATGAAAGTAAACTTGAGAACTTCTGGATACCTTCTTGTTGGTATTGTAAAGATATTCCGTAGAAAAGTAAAGTATTTGCTTGCTGACTGTACAGAGGCAGTCACTCATGTTAGGTTCAACTTGACTGAATTAAATGCTCTTGAACTGTCAAAAACAAATAAAAACAATGTTACTTTGAAACAAAAGTTTCCTTTAAATGTTGGATATGACATGGATTTTCTGTTAGTGTATTTTCATGTTCTTGTTAAACAATTTTATTTATTTTTAAGTTAAGGGGTACATAACACCACTGTTTTCAAAAGCGAAATGAAGTTTCTACTTATTGTAATTCATTTTTTAATGCTCATCTTTCAAGAAACCAAAACAAATCCACAAAAATTTATTTTCTTCATGGCATTTTTTAATCAATTGTAAAACACTTTGAGTATTTGTTCTCGGAGGACAATATTTATAAAAAAAAATTAGTATCAGTATATATACTATATATTCAGCACTTATCAGTTATTGAGCTTAGTGTGCATAATGCCATTTTTTATTTGTTAGATAACAGTGACAAACACTAGTATCTTTGCTTTGGACTACAAGACTTGGCACTTAATAATACAACTTGACATGAGAAAAGTTTTTTCAACTTCTCTCATCTGGCAACCTGATTAACTTATGGCTGCTATGTAGTCATTGATCATTGTTTTCTTACGTTTTCCTCATTACGGAAATTTTTATAGTGCCATTTCATTGGATACATGTGCCGAAATGCATTTACCATAAATGTCTGTTATTCAGGTTTACAACCAATTTCATAGATGTTGATTTTACTGCATGTCAAAGTCGTAAAGAAGAAATTACATTGAAAGAACCCAATGGTTCTTTAATTGGTGGCATCAATAATTTTCATCAAATTGGTTTGGCATAAATATATTTTTCATATTAATTAATTAATTAATTAATTTAATTGATTAATTCTTATCCATCTTGCTTCATTTTTATTAAATATTTATTTCAGCATAAAAAGGCTTTTATATTTTACAATATTACTATCTCAATGAAGTTTTTTTTATTGAAAGTTATATATTGTAAGTTATATATTGAAAGTTATATATTGAAAGTTATATATTGAAAGTTATATTGAAAGTTTATTGTTTTCATCAATACCCTGATGATTATCTTGTTATTAATATTGTGTGGCATTTCCTTTTCAGTAAACCAGGTAATTATTTCACCTCCACCAACTAGGGTGGTGCTGGTTAACTTCTCTGTCACTCATCTTTGACAATATTTTTTCTATCTTTTTATCTTTTACATTTTTTTAAACAACAAGAAATAACCCTCATGTAACAGTGGCATTTAATAAAAAACATGTTATTTGTTTTTGTTATAAGCTTATAAGCTTTGATATTTTTTTAATCGTACAGACAATTTTGGGATTGGAGAATTTGATGAAGCAGTATTTTTTCAGCCACAACAAACGTTTTCCAACTTTTTAACAGGTTCTATTAAAGACTTTTTCATCAGCTATTGATTTTTATGTCTTTTTTTATCAAAATTACTTCAGTTCTATAATATTTTGAGTTCATTTGTAATCTGGGACAAACAGAAAAACAAGTTTTTGTTGGCTTGGCAGCATGATGCTGTAATGCAATAATTTTTTTCACTTTAAAATTATGTTTATTTTTTAACAATTGTAATAAAGACAGATTAGATAATCAAGATTTACGAGACCATATTATTCCAGAAGAATCGAATATCCTGAAAGAAAATAGGGTTACATCTGAAAGCCAGCAAACAGGTTCACTTTTACATTCTGACAGTTATGGATGTAATTGAACATTTTTACATAATGACTATTATAATCCAATAAATATGATCTATAATTAGTTACAAATTGATCCTGCACATAACCTTAAGTATTCTTATTTGTTTTTGGATATAAAACTGTGATTGGTTCTCAGGTTTTAGCTATATTTCATGCTAATAACTAAAGGGGCACACAATATTTGGCAAAATTTGAAATTCAGCTTTGGCTATTTTCAAAGGCTTAATAACCAATTATTAAAACTTCTGGTATTCCATTAATTTTTGTTATTACCTACTACATTTGAAACAATATTTAATAATTAGTATTAGCCAAATTTTTGCATTTTTCATTGTATTTTAAACAGTAATTTTTATTGGTAATCTTTGCATTGTTAATTTTCCAACGTGTCTTTGCATTATAAATTAGGCTAACTTGTTCTAGAATGACCTCGTTTGTCTTCTAGTTTGTAATCTTTTGCTCACCTGCACTAGCTGCCGATTCATCAATGCATCAAATATAAAATGGCTGTCATCACGTACAAAACACTCAACACATCTCAACCACCATATCCTCACAAACTCATTCGCCTTAGCTCATCTGCTAATCATCACCACCACCTTCGTCTGCCGTCATCATTGCAACTGCATCAACCAGTCATTAAATCATCTCTCGTCAATAAAGGTTTTTCATATTGCTCCCATCAATATGGAACAGTTTACCACTCATCATCCGTCAACAATGATCAATAGAAATGTTTAAGAAGCGATTGCAACAGCATCTGTTTGAACAGGCCTTTGATAGCCATGCTGACATTTGTTTATCCGGGCGCCTCTAGGACGCTGCACAAATGACATTATTATTATTATTATTTGCACCAAAAGATCACAAATTTTAATTTTGCAACAAACAATGCAAGATAATTATTATTCTTTCATTTCAATTTACAATTGTTTATTCATAATTTTTAGTATTTTTTCATTATACGACATTTTGTTTATGTATTTTGTATGGTGATTTTTTCATACACAGCTTTGTAAGTAAATATTAGACATAAACAGTTGAAAAAACATTGCCCATTTTTAAAAATACATTTTACATATTTCAGCAATATCAATATCAACACAACAACTCATCCTTCAGCAATATTTTCTATTCAGTACACATAACCATACTAATTCATAAATTATACATAGGACAATAAAGAAGAAGTCATATTTTCATTTATGATAATATATTTATTTCCCCATTTTTTCTTTTTCTAAATTTTTTTGTAATTGTGTTAAGAAATAAACAGAAAAAGAAATGCTGATGTGGAATTGTTCCAAA